TTATTAAAAAAATAAGTTACATATGTGGCTACGATCATCATTAGGTAACGTGATTATCAAAATTCCCATGATTTTTGGTAGGGGAGTGTACTATTATATTTATAGATCATTTTTTTGAAATGAAAATGTTTGTATCTTAATTTTTAAAAAATTAAGCTCAATCTTGTTCAATCTGACCCAATCTAAAATTTTAGATTAAAACTATCTGATAATTGAAATTAGATCAAAATCTGAATTCAATTCAATTTAAATTTTATAACATTAGTTCAAATATAAAATATAGTCTAAGTAACTTGTATATATATCATTAACAAGATTTTAATATCTAATTTAAAAAATTTGCATCACAAACTAGTATATATTATTTAGCTTAAATATTAATATATTAAACCAAATATATTATAAAATAATTAGATACTATATAATATACTTATTATTAGCTTATTATAATTATCATTTTTGAAATTACTTAAAGCCAAGTATATCATCTAGTAATTAATAATTATTAGATAATTATAAAATATATAATTCTAAATAATAAATATAAAATATCAATTTTAGAAAAAGAAAATTTACAAATATATAAACAAAAAAGATAAAAAATATTTTTTTTAAAATTTTTAGTAAACATTTCTCAATATTTATTTAATCAAATTTGATAATTTTTTTATTTTAATTCTATAGTTTAGTAGGATTAAAATTTATTAAATTATGTTTAGTAATTAGTAAAAAACTATTACTAAAGTTTTAAAAAATTTAAAATATCAAAAAAAACAAAAATTAAATAAAGATTTTTCAACAACTAGCTATCTGAATTTTGTGATTTTGTTTTATTTTAATTTATGAATTTATGGAACTAAAATAAAAAAATTTGATCAAATTGAATAGCTAGTTATTAAAAAATATTTATTAAAAGTAAAAATTAACCACAGTTCTTTTTTTATTGGTATCTAAACTTTGAACAAAAATTGCTTGCTACTTATCTGATCAAATTTGATTAATTTTTTTATTTAATTATATGAATATATAGAATTAAAAAAAAAAAAATTATTACGGCATCTAGTGTAGAACCTGTATGATGTACAGGCAGACTACTTAAATTAGACACCAAAAGTGTACGTGTGGCTAGTATGTACTCTCTAATGTAGGGGGTTCCCTAGAGAACTCCTTGCTATATATACTTGAATAAAAATCCTAGCTCCCAAGAGGGTAGACGTTAAAAAAAACAAAAAAAAAAACAAAATAAATTATTAATTTGGGCCATTAATCATATACTTATAATTTAGAATCCAAAAACTTTTATAAAAATTTTATAAGAATTTTTCAGATTCTAAATACCAAAATATAGTTTGAGTAGCTTGTATATCATATTATGGATAATTTTTTAATATAACTCATTTGCCTAGCATTAATATGATAATTAAAAAAACTTAAAAGTAAGTATTTACTTGTTATTTCTTAAAAATTTATATAATAAGCTTTTTTAAAATGATTTGTTTTAAAAGCTTTTATTAAAGTACTAAAGACATAGTTTTATATAATTTTTTTTGAAATAAACAATCTTTGACAAGTGAGCACATGATTTAAGTTTTTCTGATTATGTTACATTAATGTATGATTTTAAAATCTGTTTTGTAGTTCAAGAAATTTGTGCCACAAACTAGAACAAATTTTGGATTATTCAGCTTAGACATATTGTTAGAACAAAAAGTATTAACAAAACAAAAAGCATTTATAATTATGCATGATGTACCCGTTATCAGCCTATCATAACTACTATTTTTGGGACAAATTTTCTAAAACATTAAAACACAAAAACACTAAAACACTAAAACACAGAATCAAATATTTATTGCTAAACTTAGAAATAATTTCCCCTTTTATAAAAATAATTTTTAATGTCTATAACACTAAAACACTAAAACACAAATTATGTCACTTTGGGTACCTATAGTACACCGTATTAAATGTTGACCGATTTTCAATTATATAAATCAATTTCTGGTTTTGAATTTACAACCAGTTCCGACTTCTGAATCCAGATATTTCACTATGAATCAATAATTTTTTGAATCTTGTTATATATTATGCGTACTATTATTGCTTTATTGAAACATAAATCATATTCCTTAACCTTATTTTAGTGAAAAAAATCTTTTAACATAGAATTTAAGTTATTATTGGATTCTATATAAAAAAAAAAAAATCGAGCGTAGTACGAAATTGTAGTACGAAATATCGATAAAGTCACCAGTTTTTAATTAATACAACTGTAAGAAATAATGAGTATAAAGTTTGTACTAATATTATTGGGGTACTTATTTTCGGGATTATATAATAATATTCGATAGTAAACGAGATTAGTTGTAAAAAAAAAAAAAAAAATAAGAGCTACAAAAAGTCCGAGAGCGAAAAAAAAAGAATTAACAAACATATATATTCGATGTTAAATTGTTCGAGTTTAAAGGTGAAAAAAAATCAAAGCACATCATTTTAATGCTTTGCATGAAAAATAAAAATAAAAAAAAACAAACCATAAAGGATGTCTATGTACATATATACAAATCTATCAATATTTACAATCTATAATCTAAAGTGAATTAAAAGGAAACTGAATTTAAAACAAAACAAAAAAATATATATATTTCCGGAAGCTCCAAGTGTTCTTAATAAAAGAAAGAATATCTTTCTTTAGGCTGAAAGAAAAAAATCTTTCATAATTGGATATTGAAAAACGATTACTTAATGGATAATATGACGTTGGGTTGAAGAAAAATAATTTCAATAATTGATGCTGAATTTAAAAAAAACCTTTAAATTCAAATCGAATAAAAAATAAAATATAGCTATATATTCTATCAATCTGTTGTACAAAATGTTACCTAAATTATAAGTTTTTGAAGCTAAGATATATTTAATAAAGATGATAAAATTTTCTTAATATAGTTCATAATACAGTCAACTCTTTTTAAAACGAACTAACGGTTCTGGAAGAAAAAAAAAGTTTGTTATAGAAAATTATTATGTTTTCTTAAGAACCAATGGCACTTTTTATACCGAACTACTATGAAATTTTAAAATTTTGAGTTCGTTATATCCAGAATTCGTTATATGGAGGTTCGTTATAGTTAGAGTCGACTGTATATATTTTTTTTAAAAAACCGAAATTTTATGCTATCCATAAAAACCTAACCCCGAATCGTCTAACGTTGATGTTTGGGTGTCTACAGTTAAATTTATATGTGAGGGCTGATCCACATCTTCCAAATTAAACAATTGGAGATTATCGATAGAATTGTTAAGAAATGATTGATTCGTATCCTCGAAATCATGCGACGGTATAAGAGGTGACGATTGGTTAGATAATTTTTCGAAATCGTGAAATGGTGATTGCATATGTGCAGACGTAGAAGCAGATGAGTTATTTGATGTGCAATAATTATTTGGAGAAAGATGAGTTGGGGAATAAGACGCAGGAGAATATTGTATAATGTCCAAATTTAATTCTCTATTTGAATACATTGGAGTCCTATAATTCGGACTTAGAGAGCGTGAAACATGTTCATGGTTTCGGGCTTCTTGTCTACTGTGACGGTTATCACGACTTCGTGAACGATGCGATGGAAATTGTTTGCTGGCTGACCTAGGTGATCGGATTTCAGGAATTGCTTGTTCTAAATGATTATAAAACCAGTTTACGTTCATAGTTTCTTGAGGAACTTGTTCGCCTGAATTTTTGTTTAATTGATTTGATTGAACTAAGTCAAACATTTGCTCATGATTTATTACAAATGAAATTTCGTCTAATTGTTCATAGTCGAAAAGGTTTTCAACAAAAATTGTATCTTGTAGATATTCTTGGTTTGAACTTAATGATTGTTCATTGTTCAAAGTATTATCTAAAACTACTTCTGGTTGAATATTTTGATCAAAATTGGTTGGTGTTGTTTTGTTATTTGTCATCACGGAATGAGAATTTCTGTTTGGCAGAGCTCGGAGGTGATCGGAAACGGCTTGTTTATCTTCACCTAGTGATTTCCACAATGTTTTACCCCATTCTTGGAACACTGCATTAGTTGGCGCACCAGTGCTCGATCCAGTTGCTTTTTTAGGTCCCCTTTTTTGTTGTGGGCCGAATATACATTCATCTTCGCAACCTTCTTTGATACATATTTTGCATGGACCCTTACCTTCACGGACACATCTTACTCTTTTTTTTTTGCAAAGATCACAAGCCACAGTAGCTTTATTAATTTTAGGTTTATCGTTCTTACTAGGCATAGGCTTTTTTCCATCCGACTTCTTTTTCGAATTAGTAGTATTCGGCATCTCGTGCGACAAGTATTTAGAAAGTAAAAAAAATATTGCTAAATTTATTTTTCTAAGTATCTTAACGCAAAGTGTATTAATAATCTCTATATGAAAAAAATACTTATTTACGTATCGGTATGTCAACTTCAGCATTTTTATTACTTTTCCGGATTAACCGGATTAACTTGGTGACATAATGACAGACATGTGCACGTACAAATACCCTTTTTTTTGTCTTAAATTACATATTATGGCCCACAGAAAATTCAAGAATGTACAACAGAAGCAGATCTTTCCCAAAACACGTTCTTTAATATTCTATTGACGGTATTAGCGTTTCATATGGTGCATCAAAATTGTAACCCCTCAACGAATATTTGGAATTTTGTAAAAAATATATATATATATATTACCTTATTGCCTTTGGATAAGACCTATGAAGTAGTGCATTTTTTTACAAATTTACTGAGATACAAAAAAATTTTCGAAGACTAATACGTAGAATATTTGTAAACTATTTGATTGGTTGATTTCCCCGAAATTCTAACTCCGTAAATTACATAGTGGCGCACATTTGGTGCGACTACGTAGATAATTTGCACTACGTATCGTAACGTATACGTAGGCATGTGTTTTCCGAGATGAAATGGAAATAAGGTATCCCAAAAAAGTCACACAATTAATTTAACAGCCTTCTTTTTATTCTTTTTGACACACATACAGCGTACATATATTTAAAGGATAAATACATTCTTTAAAAAATTCCGAATCATAATCGCTCTTAAACCGAAATTGTTCTAAAAACGCAAGCATTTACAATGATTACAATATCAATGAAATAAATGAATTTTAGTATTAATAAATTCTGTTATTTGTAAATAAGGTTCCGCATGATTGTACGTACGTACCTGCTGGAAAAATCTACTGAATACTTGAGTCGTACTATTAAATTACCCGGGTTATCTGGTGCCAGTCAAAATCCCGACAAGCACAATCCAGACAGGTTATAATCCCGACAAAAAATCCCGACAGTCAAAATCCCGACAGTCAAAATCCCGACAGTCAAAATCCCGACAATAAAAATCCCGACAGTCAGAATTTTCAAGTAGAAATCCCGAATATGGGGTATGTTTAAAACGAAGTAGGCACTTATAATTTGATTAACTTTAGGGTTAGGCCGAATTTTTAATTATCGGGATTTTAACTGTCGGATTTTTGGCTGTCGGGATTTTTAACTGTCGGATTTTTGGCTGTCGGATTTTTTGCTGTCGGGATTTTTCTGTCGGGATTTTTTTGTCGGGATTATGACCTGTCGGGATTATGACCTGTCGGGATTATGACCTGTCGAGATTATGACCTGTCGAGATTATGACCTGTCGGGATTATGACCTTGTCTGGATTTTCTAGAGCCTGTGCCGGATTGTTACTTTATCGGAATAGCATAATTTGATAGTAAATTTAGCCATAAATCAGGTAGAATTGCTATCGTTATGAGACTTAATTTGGACAAGGATTAGCGTAGTATAATCACGTGGGTTAAACGACAAGTCAGTAGTTCAACACCACAATACTTGCGTAACAGTGGAACTTGGACAGCTTTATTGAATGTGTGAAAAATGCTTTGCTGTGTATTTTCCCCTTTTCCTCTTATTGGATTGTTAAACTAACTAATATTGACTAGGGACTTTCGTCCCTACTAAGTATTTCGAGATCTCAAAAGATTTTGTATTTTCAATTATTTTCTTGGTATACAATATTTTTTTTTGTCACATTTTGAAACAACGTATTTTCTCTATCTAGATTTCCTCACGCACACACCTTAATCTATGTTGGCAAAATTTTTGTTTCCAACGGTTTAAGATAATTTTATTACTAACTAGAAATTGTATATGAGAACGACTTCATTGTATAGTTAAAATTGGAATGAATTATGTTGATGATAATTCTAATCTTGACTGGGCTGCAAAACGATACAATGTATAGTTTTTAATTAACAATAAAAATTAAATTTTAAATATTTGAGATAATAAATAATAAGATAATAAGATAAAATATTTAATAAAATCATAGTAGTTAATCATTATTTTGATAAAACATATACAGTTATATATTCTTTAAAGTTATGAATTGGCATGATGGCATGATAGCAAAAAGCTCTAATAGGGTTAAATTTCTTAATAAGACAATATACAAGAGTACAAACAGTTCTATTTACAAGTCACTCTCGTTATAGTGAAGTGATCGGCTGTGAGATTTGCATCACTATATTGAGAGCCTATTTATATAACTGTTCATCACTATAACAGAGGTTCACTATAACAAGAGTTCACTATAACGAGTGTGACTTGTGATTTACAATCTCAAATAAAGTTCATGGCACTAATGATTTAACTATTGAAGGAACTTGCCTAATTCGAAAGTATTTTGTATGTCAAAAATACTTTTAAGTAAATTTACTGTTCGAGTATCGAAACTGAAAATCTGTAAATGTCTAAAATTCGAAACCGAAAATGCTTTCGGTAAATTCATTGTTCAAAAAATGTTTCAGAAAATCAGACCGAAAAACACAAGATTACATAACCAAAATCAAAAAGGTGACTGAATTTGAATTTCATTTTTTGTAAACCCGCCAATGCCACCAAATAAAGTTGTTTATCAAATATTGTTAAAAATAACAAAGCCAAATCTGGTTCTTTTTAAATTTTAGTTATACAAGTTTTAATATTAAATTGGTTTTATAATGTTCTGCTCCAGTTGTAAAACTCGGATAAACCGATTTTAAAGCATTTTCATTTTTTAAAGATAACGTGAGTTCAACCTTTTCATTTTAACTAATCAGAATTCTTGTTGATACGGTATACCAATACATTACGGCTCATTTGTAAAATTTGACTACTAATATGTGATAGTGATTTTTGATTGTGCTAATCGATGTTCTTAGGTTAGAGTGCGTCATTATATGTAAATTTCTATGTCAGACGAAGTGCGTCAAAAATGGGTTAGGTAGTGGGAAGATAGTTCAGAGTTCCAAAAAAAATTTTCGGAGTTTAGCGTTGATCAACTAAAATTTAAACTTGAGGACCAAACACTCAAATTTGGTGACCGAATTTTAGCTTAATTTATGTGCAATGATCAATAAAAAACCAAAAATATATCAGATGATTCAAAAGTTCATATACACGGTCACTATTTTTTAGGGGAAATTACAAATAAGGGCCCAAATTTGAAAATAATTACAAATAAGGGCCCAAAATAAAAATAATTACA